ATATACTCATCTTTGGTAAGTGATGTTAAGTTCTTAAAAGAAGAGTCATTTGACCTTCGTACCTTCCTTCTTCTTTGAGGTATAGCTAAAGGTATATGAAATCTATTTACACAAAGTTTTCTGAATATAAAACTCACTGATTAACTAATAATAATATTCACAAAACTGCCATTTAAAAATTGCACAGTACATGCTTTAGAATAGAAATTGTTATTATGATAACTTATCTTCATGGACTTGATATAAGAAATGCAAATGCCATTTACTTATGCTAAAAGTCTAGCTTTTTAACAACTAGCATGCTGATTCTATATTAACCTCATAATTTAATTTCTGAATTACATAGAGAAAATCAAAGAGCATATTTTAGTTTTCCTACTATACTTGTACTTTACTAAAATAAATAGCTTCTTTTAAAAAGTGCATATTGAAAATTAGTAAATAATCTGAAAAAAAGGAATCAATGCTCACTGAAATACTTGAAATCAGGATTTGATCATATAAGAGTGCTATTTACTTAAGTTATGTTTTAATATCAAAACAATCTTGATACCAAAATCGAGTACATTTTTTTTAAGAAATTAGACTATTTTGAGCCAATAAATTTGTCTCTCTCCCTTTCAGTCAATAAGTACAAAGAAAATGAGTTCTATGATCCTGTGGTCTTAGTCTATAATAGCAATTGCCTGATCATACAAGCAACTTAGTTTCAATCCCCAGAATGACGGTGATGCTGGAGAAAGATAATTGACTCCACAAAATTGTACTCTACCCTCCATATTTGATCTACGACACATGTGTCCCTTCTACACACAGATCACATACACACATATTAAAAGACAATTATTTATGTTTTCAAATATATATGTATGCAATTACACATACAATGTATTTCAAGTCTGCAAATTGAGAAAGCTAAGCTTTTCAAACATAAGGAAAATGGGTTTATGTGTATGGGCAGTAGTAATGGGTTAAAGAAGTTTTCAAAAATTAGAAACATCGCAAATCTGTGTCTCTAACAATGTTTCTGTAGGTATCAGCTTGCTGCTTTAATTAAGCATATTTAGATGGTAAGTGGGTTAATTGCTTTATTAAGTAACTGATTGAATGATTGGTCTTTGATTAGCCAATCAATCTGTTCATGAAAGAATGGTAAACCAGAAGAAAAATATCATGTATATTCTAGGTCACAGATCAAAGTTCAATAACCACACTGGATAACACATACTTTTATAAAATTGGTTTAATAATACTTATATTATAAAACTGCAAAAAAATTAAGAAAATAGCAAATAAATCACTTGACGGCATATTCAGAACATAAATACTAGTAAATGATCATTTCAACACTTTTCCAATATTGTTTGTTCTCTTAAATACAACCATCATTACCATTGATTAATCAATCAAAGATTTTGTATTTTTGTATCATAGGTATACTACCAGAAACACTCATATATTAATATGATATATACATGTATATACATATATACATATACATTAATGTATATACATATATTAATATGATATCTATTCATGCATATGCTACATTTTAAATCATCATAGTACGGGTTTCATTAATTATTAACGTGATAAGCAAACTGACATAAAATGAGGTAATACAATTCACATTTTTTACAATGTTGAACTAGATTGAACATAGATTGGGTTGTACTTCAAATATATTCAAATATATTAAATGTATTAATATTAATATTAGTTAAGTGGGACTTTGTGAATGCCATGCTATTATTAAAATACTTTAAATGGTACAATGAAAATTAATTACAGACATACGAAGTAACCTATATAGTATTTTAAAATTCAAATATTTTAGAGTATGTTTATGAGAGTACAATGTTTGAAACTGAACTCCTTTACATTCTTACTGCATTATAGTAAGGAAAAACATTAGGGATAGAAGGCTTGCAGAAGCTAAAAGCATGACTACCATTTAGTTATATAACAGTGAACAAGAATCAAACTAATTTTGGATTATCATGCAGCATCTTTTAATGGCAAAAATCAGGGAAGATAGTTTACGCATACATGTGCTTGTGCTCTGTGGGGATGTTATGGAGGCAAAGGTATGATAATTTGCCTAAATTCACACAGGAAATAAGCAACAAACCGGAGAGAAGAATCCAAATCCCCATCTCTGTTCAAAATGAAAAAAAAAAAAAAAAAAAGTCTTGGAAGGCACATAATCTAACTATTCTTCTAGATCATTTTTACAAAACACCTGGGAAGCAGGCCCAGAGCTTTTGTGACATCTGAGAAGCCCATGAGTATTATTTTCAAGGGACAATCAGCGTGAAAGCTTTCTAAATGATCTTTAAAAAGAAATCTGTGGCACCAGATGGTGGGTCACAAGGCTATCTCCAGAAGAAACGAGGATCTGGGGATGCTTTTCCAAAGCTCAGGAAAAAGTGTGCATATAACCAAAGAATTTCATTTGGTTTTGTCTCTGTTTTTTTTCAAGCCAAATTAAAAACAACATGCTGCATGAAACTTCTGCTTAAATCCTCCAAGAAGCAAGATGACAACAAGTAGTTTATTTAACGGCAAGCATGTGCTGTGTAAGATGTGACCTAATGTATCAAGCTTCCAACTTTTTGTGACAACCATTCCGGAATCCAACCTGCATAGTAACTTAGAGCAAAAATGTTTCACATTGTCCCTCCAAACAGTACTTTCAGAACCTGTCCAATTCCTGTCTTTCAACTCACTTGAATAGCTTCTGCTATAGTTCTTATATCCATTCTTTTTCAAAACACTATAGACAAATTATAGTCTAATAGAGAGATTTAGTTTCTATTCAGTTTAACAAAGATGTGAAACAGTAGTAATGTAGTTTTCTATAGAGACAGCTGGATAATACGCTCAAAGGAGCAAGAGTCTGCTGTGATGGGATGGTAGCGATACCGTTAAAATGTAGATTTGTAGATTTGTAATAAAGAAGGGAGACACACCGGAGAGAAGAAAAGGCAGTTCTGAAAATCATCATGAAGAGAAGATGTTCTCCAGTTAGTTTGTCTTTATAAAAAGCAGTTCCAATGCAACATTGTAAACAAAAGAAAATCTAAGAAACAAGCACACACCCACACAGAAAGAGAAACAGAGAGACAGCCAGAGACTGTCAGAGACCTTAAAAAGTTGAGGTTATGAGGTTTGTGAGCACACACAGTCCAATGCATTTTCTATCTATATAGAAATTAAATTATTACGTTTTGTGGGTTTTATGACCATGGAAAGTGGTCTAACTCTAGGAAAATGATTCTGACTTTTAGAAGCTAAGGGTACTGCATTAAGATATAAACACAATTTGGATGGAATGTAGTACTGAGTTTTAGAATCTGGTAATGTCTTAACTACAGACTCTAAAGTAAATATTTACTGAAGTTCAGCTGTTGGGCAGAACTAGGAGATGGAGGGGTAAGGAAGAAGAGCCAAAAATGCATCCCTAGAATGTGGTTTGTTAACCAGCTCCACAATGGCCTTTTACCTAGAAGACCATGCCCAGATGAAGCAGGCTTGTTGCTTCTTCTACACACCCATTGTACTGTAAAGAGCTATGTTTATATTATAGGTCAGACTTCTAGCATAGAGTGTTTTGTTTGTATAATAACAAGTTGTTACCTACCAGGTGTTCTGATGTAGTACACTGTCAATGTTTGAGACTCTGGATTCTAGGATTAGTGGAACTGAGGAGAAAATATGGCCATAAGCTGAACAATTAGCTTTGCCAAACAATTTCTATTTTAGTTAGTACAAGGTAGAAAAAAAATAAACTAGCTTTTCTTTGCAAAGAACAGAGAATTGCTATTTTTGATGTCAGAAGAAGAGATTTTTCTGGTCTAGGCTCAGTCCCTGGTCACTCAGCAGACAAGACTTTATGTTTAGTGCAGTAAGGAGGAAATTTAGTGAAGAGAATATAGACTTGAAGAGGGTCCGAATGGACTTGGCTGCTATTTATATGGCACCCTGTAGAACCAGCAGTTTCACAGACTGAATTCACTGGACTCTCCCATTGATTTCATGACAGATCACAGGTAATAACAAAGTCACAAAAGACAGCAAAGCATTTTGGACCCTGCTCCAGAACCTGTTTCTAAACGGGCACTTCCCCAATAGAAATTTAGGAGAGCAGAGTGAGCAGAATCTTTTGAAGAGTAACCACTATTTTATTTAAGCTTCAGTAACTGCCCTCTCTCCTTTAAATTTTCCTTTTCCAGAATGATAGTTGGTATTACTGCAATACACACACACACACACACACACACACACACACACACACACACACACTCACCCACACTTTCGTGTAGTCTTTCAGCCAGAAACTGCCACTACCTTTAAAATCAAACCTTCAAGCAAGCATTCAGAGACTCTTGAGCCCTGGAGACTATCAGGCTTGCCATCACCAAAATGAAAACACAAGGACCCTTGATGGATTTCATATCTTGCTTTGCTGGCTCTTGTCTTGGCATAAAGAAGTTGAGACTGCTCTTGTTTGGGAAAAGTGTTTTTTCTTGCTCTGTGCAAAGAAGTGCTGGATCCACATGCCTGGAGGAAACTGGTTGGCAAAACAGGGGTTTGTGGGGAATAAGGCTGTGCATTCAGATACCAGTGCGTAGTTGTTTATTTATTTTAAGTCTCCCTTTCTTGCTAACAACCTGTAGACTTAGGATTTAACTGGTGCAGGAGGCAGAAGGGCTGGTTGTCACGCGCTCTGGTGCCTGGCTTGCTGGCATCTCCTTGCAGGCTTGAAAAGCTAGTCCTCACTCAGGCTCCTGTGGTGGGCTATGGACATACCACGTCCAGGAGTGGACATTGTAAATGTCCCATTCTGGCCCTAGGCTTTTCTGTCCATCCGAGTTTCTGTTCTTAATTGACAGACCAGTGACTATTGGCTGAAGTTCCCTAGTGATTTGCATGAACGGAGAGGGAGTGTCCTCTGCCACCCTCCCTTTTGGAGCGCTCTTACTGCAGCCTCCTAGGGAATGCGCGGCCAAGGGAAAGCGCGCAGCTCGCTGGTCCAGGCAGTGAGCTTGCGCCCGGCGACCTGGCACCCGTGCCTGGATATGGGGCATCTACATCGTCCCAGGAGCAGCACAAGCCACAGGAACCTGCCGGTAAGGATGCGGGAACCTTGGGTCCTCCAGAAGTTGCGTTGCTGGCTAGCTGTACTACTCCTTGATGATGTTTTCAAACGTTTTCCCATAATGCAAACTTCAAGATAGGATAGGGGGAGGGAAAGGAGTTTGGGATACAGCGCCTATGATATTTTATCAAATAGTTTGTTCTCTCGGGTCGAGAAAGGAAGTTTCTGAATCAGAAATATTGCATGAGGTGAAGGGCCAAGGGTGCGCTCAATCCGCTTCATATTCGGGGCTGTTAAGATTGATTCCTATGGCCAATGCCAGCTTGAAACTGTCTGCCTCCTGCAACTCACAAATGCTTTTGCATATTGGTGTTCCGCATTTACTTTGCTAGCTCGTCGACTGGAAGGAGGTAGAGCATATGCTGAGAGGTAGAGACCCAGATTATTTGATTTGATGTGATGGACGAATGAAATGAAAAATAATTTTTCTCCCCAATTTAAGAGGGAATGGGTAGCAGGTAGGGAGGATGGCTCAGTTTTCCAGATTATTGTTATTGCTGTGACTGTTGATGCTGTTGTTTATATTGGCCGCATAGAAAACGGGTGTAGCACATCGGATGTTCTGGGACCTTCATGGCAGAATCATTTCAGTGAGATGTAAATCGTGCGCTGCTCGGGGCTTTCTGCCACCATCCCCTTTCTTTCTTCCCCATAATGTAAGGGGGTTTCCTGCCGCGTTGCGCAGCCCTTTGAGTCTCAGTCTAACTCTGTTATGTGTTTCCAGGGACTCTAAATGTTACCTAGAGAAGACTAGCGATCAGAAGGTGGGGAGTGGGGAGGGGAGGGTGAGGAGTAAGGAGTGGGGAGAATAGAATATGAATTGACAGGAGTAAGTTTCCGAGGCAGCTTTGTTCCGCAGACCTTACTCTGTGGAACTTACACTTCATTCAGATTAGGGGTTTTGCTTGTAGAAATAAGGGTGAGAGTGAGCTTTGTTTCGGGCGGGGATCGCTACTTCCTAGCTCCCATCTCTGCTTCCTGGAGTGTGTACTCACCATTTCCCCCCTCACTTCACTCCAGCATGTTTTTCTGCTTTTCCTCTTCGTGGGACCCTTCAACTGCCTCGCGAGTTACAGTCGAGCTACCGAGCTTCTGTACAGCCTAAACGAGGGACTGCCTGCGGGGGTGCTCATAGGCAGTCTGGCGGAGGACCTAAGGCTGCTGCCCCGGGCCTCTGGGAGGCAGAGCTCGCAGCTGCTGCATCCAGAGCACACTACGGCTGAGGGGAGCCCCCCTCTCTCGTTCAGTTTGGCCTCCAGTGGACTGAGTGGCCAGTATGTGACCCTGGACAACCGTTCCGGGGAGCTGCACACTTCTGCACGGGAGATTGACAGAGAAGCATTGTGCCTCGATGGGGGTGGAGGGGCTGCCTGGGGCGGCAGCACTTCCATTGCCTCCTCTTCTTCCTCTGACTCTTGCCTTTTGCTTCTGGATGTGCTGGTCCTGCCTCAGGAATACTTTAGGTTTGTGAAGGTGAAAATTGCCATCAGGGATATAAATGACAATGCTCCGCAGTTCCCAATTTCTGAAATCTCAGTCTGGGTCCCGGAAAATTCACCTGTGAACACCCGATTGGCTATAGAGCATCCTGCTGTGGACCCAGATGTAGGCATTAACGGGGTGCAAACCTATCGCTTACTGGACTACCATGGCATGTTTACCCTGGACGTGGAGGAGAATGAGAACGGGGAGCGCACACCCTACTTGATTGTCATGGGTGCTTTGGACAGAGAAACCCAGGACCAGTATGTGAGCATCATCATAGCCGAGGATGGTGGGTCTCCACCACTGCTGGGCAGTGCCACCCTCACCATTGGCATAAGTGACATCAACGACAACTGTCCTCTCTTTCTGGACTCACAAATTAATGTCACTGTTTATGGAAACGCTACAGCGGGCACCCCGATTGCAGCCGTTCAGGCTGTGGATAGAGACCTGGGGACAAATGCACAGATCACCTACAGTTACAGCCAGAAAGTTCCACAAGAATCCAAGGATTTATTCCACTTGGATGAAACTACTGGAGTCATTAAACTTGCCAGTAACATTGGTGGGAGTGTTCTGCAGACACATAAGCTCACCATCCTTGCTAATGGACCAGGCTGTATTCCTGCAGTGATCACTGTTCTTGTGTCCATTATCAAAGTTGTTTTCAGACCCCCAGAAATCGTCCCACGTTATATAGCAAATGAGATGGATGGTGTTGTATATCTGAAAGAACTGGAGCCTGTTAACACTCCAATCGCATTTTTCACCATAAGAGATCCAGAAGGCAAATCCAAGATTAACTGCTACTTGGACGGTGAAGGGCCATTCAGGCTAGCACCCTACAAGCCTTATAACAATGAGTATTTGTTGGAGACCACAAAACCTATGGACTATGAACTGCAGCAGTTCTATGAAATAGCTGTAGTGGCCTGGAACTCAGAGGGGTTTCATGTCAAGAGAATCATTAAAGTGCAACTTTTAGATGACAATGACAATGCTCCTGTTTTCCCTCAACCCTTGATAGAACTGACTATTGAAGAAAACAATGCTCCCAATGCCTTTCTGACGAAGCTCTATGCTACAGATGCTGACAGTGGAGAGAGGGGCCAAGTTTCCTACTTCTTGGGACCAGATGCTCCGTCATACTTTTCCTTAGACAGTGTCACGGGGATTCTGACAGTTTCGACTCAGCTGGACAGAGAAGAGAAAGAAAAGTATAGGTACACTGTCAGAGCTGTGGACTGTGGGAAGCCACCCAGAGAATCCGTGGCTACAGTGGCCCTCACTGTGTTGGATAAAAATGACAACAGTCCTAGGTTCATCAACAAGGACTTCAGCTTTTTTGTGCCAGAAAACTTTCCAGGATATGGTGAAATCGGAGTCATTAGTGTAACAGATGCCGATGCCGGGAGAAATGGATGGGTAGCCCTCTCAGTAATGAACCAGAGTGACATTTTTGTCATAGATACAGGCAAGGGCATGTTGAGAGCTAAAGTCTCTTTAGACAGAGAACAGCAAAGCTCTTACACTTTGTGGGTGGAAGCTGTTGATGGAGGCGAGCCTGCCCTTTCCTCTACCACAAAAATCACAATTCTCCTTCTAGACATCAATGATAACCCTCCTCTTGTTTTATTTCCTCAGTCTAATATGTCTTATTTGTTGGTCCTACCTTCCACTCTCCCTGGCTCACCAGTAACAGAGGTCTACGCAGTTGACAAAGACACAGGCATGAATGCTGTCATAGCTTATAGTATCATAGGGAGAAGAGGTCCCAGGCCCGAGTCCTTCAGAATTGACCCTAAAACTGGCAACATAACTCTGGAAGAAGCCTTACTGCAGACAGATTATGGTTTGCATCGTTTACTTGTGAAAGTGAGTGACCATGGCTACCCCGAACCTCTCCATTCCACTGTCATGGTGAACTTATTTGTCAATGACACTGTCAGTAATGAGAGCTACATTGAGAGCCTTTTAAGAAAAGAACCAGAAATTAATATAGAAGAGAAAGAGCCACAAATCTCAATAGAGCCAACTCATAGGAAGGTAGAATCTCTGTCCTGCATGCCCACATTGGTAGCTCTTTCTGTCATAAGCTTGGGTTCCATCACACTAGTCACAGGGATGGGAATATACATCTGCTTACGGAAAGGTAAAAAACATCACAGGGAAGATGAGAATTTGGAAGTACAAATTCCACTGAAAGGAAAAATTGACTTGTGTATGAGAGAGAGAAAACCGGTGGATATTTCTAATATTTGATGTTTCATTGTGGAATGACATTTTAACTGCCATGAATAGTCTTTGTCACACAAACAACGGTGTGCTGATATAGTTCCACTGAAGGACCACTAATTTATAACTTGTAATATATTATAAATAGCTGTTTACAGGTTTTTAATTCAAATTCAGAGGTTATAAAATGTGTACAGAATTTTTAAAAGAAAATTAGTACTAACAGCTATATTATTGTTATTTATATATATACATAAAACGCTGGACATAATTGGCAGCTCTCATAGACCCAGCAGATGACTGACAAAACTCAAGACTAAGGTAAGAAAAGTACATTTTTGTTGTCCTAAAATGTCTTTTCACCACAAGAGGGCACCAGCTTCCCCTTGCAGGGAACTGTGGTATTGTACATGATAGTTGTTGTACATGAAATTATTGAGAGAGTATATTTTAAATATATTGTTTTTAACATTAAATGTAAAATTGAAGTAAATTGAATTTCCTTACTTAAATATATGAGAAGAAAGAAAAAATATCCGCTTGTTAACAGAAAATGTATTACCTCATAGGTACATCAATTATAGTTTGAAAGAGAAGGCATTCAGAAAGAAGTGTAATTCATTTGGGGCAAGCATCAAATCAAACCTGCTGAGGAGTGCAATACTTTTTGCAACTCTGCCTGTTTGCCTGACTACTACACTTACTAGAATTACAGGAGGTGGGCATCAGCTGTTGATTCTTCCTTACATGAAAAATACGTAGACATTGTACTCAGTATAAAAGCAAGATGCACAACAGTGTCTCAATCTTCTTGCCTGCTTGGCGTTTCTGATGTCTTAGTGCATTCTCAACTTGTCTGCAGCAATTTGCTCTTGGGTTATATGTTAGGTTGAGTATGCTTTTGTTCATGCACCACATGACAAAAATAAAAGTTGCATTCAAAGTGAAATTCTCTGAAAGCTAGTATACACTATTGGTGGTTTTGGTTGGGCATTTTATGTGAAAGTTATGCTTTTTGTAGATGTTTACGACTTTGGCTACTGTTCTGGCCCCTTTCATTAGTTCTGAAATAGTCAAAATTTTATTTGTAAGCCCATCTGCAGATTCCTTTGATAATTTAGTTTTTACTGGCTTTTTTGCAATAAATAAAACTGATTTATCAGTGATTTCTAACTTTTCGTTTTTTGCATGATATGGAAATTTTATTTTATGTAATTACTACAGCAAAGCTATTTGTGTAAAGAAGAAATTTGTTACCTTCAAAATGGGTCACTTTACTTATCATCATCATGTGTCTGTACCATACCAAAACTGTTTATATGTCTGCAAATTAAAAGTATATATTTTCATAATTTTGTGATTATTTTTACCATTTTATATTTGAACATGGGCTTTTTCTTTCACTGAAGTGCCTGCTATTGGTGTCTGTTTATTTTTAGAATTAAGTGTGAGAAACTGTAGTATTCTGCTATGCTAAAGTTTATATTAAACTAATCCATGACCTAATTAAATATTGGGCAGATTATTAAGGGTGTGTACAATTATAGAGATATACAGAAGAGAATTTGCTTGTATGTTTAAGTTCTCATAGAAACTTGCACCCATGCATGTCTCTATTACTATTAACTAATAGATTTAATATTAATATAGCTTTTCCCTCATGTTGTAGCTTGCAATATTTAAGGTAAAAACACATCATAAAGAAACAAAAACTGAAACACAAATACAGAAATTATTAGATTTGAATTAATTACTTATTCTTGTTTTATTCAGTTTGATAATCTGGATAAATAGGTATGTAAGGCAGCAGAGTTTGAGACAAAAATCAATATATTTTCATGAAAGTTTCTTTTGTATGATGGGCACTTGAACTAAGGGACTTGTAAGATCATTTAAGCCCATAAACTGTTCATTCACTCACAACTCTTACCTAACAAAGGAGGGACACATCCTTTTCCAGTTGTGTTTTACTTACTTTCTTTTATAAAAGGAGAAATTACATAAAATAAATATAGTAACATTAATAAAATGTAAGTACTCCACAAGCTCCATGACCTTTACCATCTTTATAAAGGGAAAAATAAACATTCTATTCATTTGAAAATTTGAACATGGTTCGTGTGTTGGGGAGGGGGGTGCCTACTGAACTTCATTTCCTGAATGGGAAAATTCAATGACTTTAATAAAAATGTATTTATAAATGAGTTGTTGTAGGATTTCCTTTACACACTTTGCTTACATTAAAAACAGAAATAGCAGGAAAAGCTAAAGTAAATTAAGCTTAAACATAAAAGCTTCTTTTTCCTAAGACCTTGCACTAGAACAGTTGCCAAAATGTATGCTAATCGTGTCAATGTTGTTGGTTAAGCTGGCACAAAGATAACTGTTCCATTCATTAAAAGCCCTAATATCCATTTAACAGTTTGAGAACCAGTGAGCTCTCTTTGCCTAATTTAATGATGAAGGATGGCTCTGGGCTCTGTCCTGCCAAATACATCCTACATTATGGAGGGTAGTGTTCATTAATTTGAACTGGGAAATATAAAACCAATACAGCAATTTCAGCTGGGGGCTAAAATAACTTACATTATTTTTTGAATTATTTGATTCCTAAGTATAAAACATTTTAAAGCTATCATTTTTTTCCTGACAGATACACTTTTATCAAGAAGATTTCAAAACTAAGACATACACTCACGCGTGTGGGCAAGCACAAACACACACACCCACACACACACACACCACACATACACACTCGATACGTTTTAAACAATCCTGAAGAAAACTGGTACATTAGAAAAAAAAAAAAACCCAATCCCTAGTGTTTTGGATGCTGGACCAGTGTTTTAGAAAATAGCAGGCTTGATTGTACTGTAAAATATCAGTCAAAGATGTATTAAAACCAGTGTATAAAGTTGACTTGATGGCTGTAAGAAGTCTCACACAGATTCTGATTTTACACTGCTAGAGGATGCCTAAATTGACAAGTATAAGAGGAGAAATCAAGCAATTCTCCTGGAAGACAAATTTCAAAATATTGACCTTTGGCAGAAAAGAGAAAATGTAATCAAAACGTAGCAGTAAAAAGGGGGTGTTCTTCAGCTCCATAAGACGGCCTCGGGTCATGGAGACGTGAAACACAGATACCTGCGACTGTTTTCACTCTAAGCTGTGTTTGAGTATACAAGGTAAAGCAATCTACTGTTACCAAATACCCCTACTGCTGACTTACATACTCCTCATTCCATGGAGTGTTTGCATACACGTAGTGGATAGATATGACAAGAGAGCTGGCAGTGATGCAAGAAAGCATAAAAAATAATTAAATTCATTTCTAATTACTGTACACTGGAGATCTATCGTCTTATTTTTCAGGTACTTTAGTTTTGGAAAAGAAAATAGAGTGTAAATTTTCAGATAGAATACGCACAAATGCACAATCTTTAATAATTTTCCAAAGTCACTTATTTATGTGCAATAGTTCTTAAATTACTACTTTTGTTTCTATAATGAACTTTTAAACTTAAAATATTTTTCTTTACATTTATTTAATTTGGTTTTAGTGAGGCCATGGTGCACTCGTGGGTGGAGGTTAGAGGACAACTTAGAACAGTTAGTTCCAGGGATCAGACTCAGGTTGTGAGACTTGGCAGCAGGCTCCTCCATCTGTTGAGCCATCTCAGTTGTTCTTTTATTGTCTTCCTTTAAGGCCATCACACAAAGTAAACGAACTTCATTGATACCTAGTAATGTACAAAGTAAGAACACTGCACTAATGAAAAACATTCATTTTCTCATTTTACATATATTTTCTTTGCCTAAATAACAAGAACTTAACAGTCAAGGAGACAGATTATCATACAAACTTGTGTTATAGTTGTGGAATGCCAATAAGAAAACACAATTTTAAGGTGCTCTGCCTACTAAAGTGGCCTATTTCATGGATGTCATGGAAAGAAGACTTATCTTAAACCCAGAAACTTCTAGAACACCTCAGACTGGCAGTGATTTCTATTCTGGGTCCCTCCCAAAAATTATGTCTTACAGTATCTAAAAGGAAAACCTTGGGCAAGTAGATACAGGAGGAGAGAAGGGTATCTGAAAACGAGAGAACTGGATGCAAGACAGAAAAGAGTGGGCATATTTGTGTGCAGAGCTATCAGTCTTCCAGGCTTTGGAGATAAAAGCAGTAAAAAAATATCAAAAAGTGGTTTGGAGAGGTAAGATATTATTATCTTAATTTTTTAATCAAAGAAATCTCTCTATTTAAAAGAGCATTTTGATCATGTGTGTAAATTTTGTTGAAAAATAAGTACATATTGGATAAAGGCTTTGATGACAATTTAATGAATAATTGAGCCTTATACTATAGTATACAAAACAGATATCATAGGACTTTATGTAAGGTACAAATACAATATAACTGATAAAATTAGTGATACTATAAGAATTTGACATGTTAACTAGCAAGGAAATTTCTGCAATTCGTTTTGAGTTATTTATTTATTTATTTTTTACAAAATAGAAAAGCATAAAGGATCATATTCACATCAAATCAGCAATGAGAAATTTGGGGTAATAACTCCCGTCCCTAGTGTTGTGTTTTATGACAGATAAAATTAAAAAGGCCCTCATTTACTCAGTTTATTTCATCTTTATGTCCCTCAATTCTATTCAATTTAGCAAATATTACTGTGTGTCCATGTGCTAGATATTTTACTGTGAGGGTAATGTCATAGTTACATGTCTTATTCTAGGCATTTGCCACTATATTTGGCATGTGGGCATTATAAAAAAGCACATACACAAATGTTTCATGTAAAAAGTGGAAAATGATAGTGAGATATCAATGGATACTATTCAGTATATGTGAGTGTGTGTGTGTGTGTGTGTAATTGACATCATTGTCTAAATTAAAAAAGACTATAATAAATTTAATTATTTGGGGAAAGATCTAGAAAACATGATTTCAAAAACTAAGAAATGAGAGGTAAGGGATATATGTCCTGAGTTTCCTTTTTTCATTTTTTATTTTAATTTTTATTAATTACAATTTATTCACTTTGTATCCCCCTTGTAGCTCCCTCTCTCCTCCCCTCCCAAACCCTTCCTCCCTCCCTCCCCATTCTCCACCTATGCCCCTCCCCCAGTCCCATGATAGGGGAGGTCTTCCTCCCCTTCCTTCTGATCCTAGTCTATCAGGTCTCATCAAGAGTGGCTTCATTGTCTTCCTCTGTGTCCTGGTAAGGCTGCTCCCCTCTCAGGGGGAGGTGATCAAAGAGTAGGCCAATCAGTTCATGTCAGAGATAGTCCCTGTTCTCATTACTATGGAACCCACTTGGACCTTTACTGCTATGGGCTACATCTGTGCAGCCGTCCTAGGTTATCTCCATGAATGGTCCTTGTTGGAGTATCATTCTCAGAAAAGACCTAAAATCTGTACACCTAAAGTAAATAATCAAGAAGGAGGACTCTGTCTAAAATGCTCAATCCCCATTCAGAAAGGCAAAGAGGATGGACATCAGAAGAAGGAGAAATCAGGGAACAGAACAGGAGCCTGACACAGAGGACCTCTGAAAGGCTCTAGCCTGCAGGGTATCAAAGCAGATGCTGAGACTTATGGCCTAACTTTGGGTAGAGTGCAGGGAATCTTATGAAAGAAGTGGGAAATAGTAACACCTGGAGAGAACAGGAACACCACAAGGAGAGCAACAGAACCAAAAACCTGAGCAAAGGGATGCCCTGAGTTTCAACATCAATTTTTAATAAATCATTTAGTACATTGTATTCTCTACATTGTTTTTGTTGTTTGGACTTGAAGACTTTAACTGTACTTAATAATAAATAGGAACTTTTCACGTATGGCTTAACAAGCATAGAGTTGATACAAAACAGTACCATAGGCAGCCTTGGCCTCCCTTCCACACACTTTCCCCTTCTGAGATTCTCCTATATGAAAATTATTAATGTGTCTTTTATTAGCAGAACTTTAGAAATTAAATGAGATAACTAAAAACTAATAATTTCCACAAATGAATTGCTCTATGATATTAGTTATCATTCCTATTAAAATTGAAAGTGGGCCATGAGATGATCATAACAGTTTATTCTTCCATTCTTCCATAAAATTTTCCAAACACTATTTTTATCACATAACAAAAGCCATGAGTTTAACAATTTTTTAGATTAAAGACCATGCTTCAATACAGCTATCCTCCTTTTACATACAACTACGTTTTACAGTTTTCTTTTGTGTGTGTGTGTGTGTGACAATAAGTTCACACATTTCTTTTCTTTTAGAACTATCAAAAGGGGCCAGA